TAGTTTCCCACTGCAACTCAGTAAAGAGAGCGAGTTTAGTTTGCCATCTCCTCTGCAGAGCTTTGGCCAACGCTGGTGCTTGTGCTATGTGTGTGCGCGCACACTCTGTTCTCCCTCCCTTCTTCTACCTCTAGCCATGTGTGGTTGGCAACGCTGGTGAGTGGTCGGCTCACCCGTGTCGGGGATCCAGGGGCCAACAAGTGGTATCGAAGCCGTACAAGCGCCGCTGCCGGACTAACCATTGGCGATGACGGACGGTTTGGAGATGGGCTACAACAGCGGCGCTGCTGTGGCTACCCATCCACGACAGGAGGTCATTGTGCGCACGGTGTGGGAGTTCAGCGGCACCAGTTGGCCAACACTGACTCACACCAACTATGGAGAATGGGCGGTGACCATGAAGGCCAAGCTCAGAGCCCGATGCTGTTGACAAGGGCACCGACAAAGAAGAAGGCCGACCCCAATGCCTACCGACACTACGGGAAGACGGGCCATTGGGCAAAGGAGTGCCCAAATCATAAGCAGAAGAAGAAGGTTGAGGCTCATCTAGCGCAGGCTAATGATGATGATGAGGCCACTCTCCTGATGGCGGTGTTTTGTGCGCTGCACGACGTTGACGCCAAGGAGAAGGGAGAGGTGATGGCGGTGGAAGGGCCTGGGAAGGCTCTGGAGGCTGTCAACCTCGACGAACCACGCGCCCAAGTCCATCTCGGACATGTGGGCGGCGAGCAGGAGTAGCGGTGGTACCTGGACTCCAGTGCCAGCAACCACATGACGGGCTCCAAGGCAACCTTCTCCGAGCTCGACGATGACGTGACTAGCACGGTGAAGTTCGATGACGGCTCAATGGTGACGATCCGAGGGTACGTCACCATCATCTTCAGGTTCCAGAATGGTGAGTACCGTGCGCTAATGGATGTAGATTACATCCCGTAGCTGCGTTCAAATATCATCAACATTGGCTAGCTGGATGAACGCGACAGCGAGGTATTGATCAAGGACGGCGTCCTCAGGATTAGAGACCGGGAGCAGCAGCTTCTTGCCAAGGTGAAGAGGTCCTGAAACCGGCTGTACCTGCTCGACCTCAAGGTGGAACAGCCCATCTACTTGGCTTCACGGCGCACGGAGGAGCCATGGTTGTGGCATGCCCAGTATGGACATCTCAGCTTCGACGCTCTTAGTTGGCTGGAGAAGATGGTGACTGGGCTGCCTCACATCGAGCACGCAGGCGAGCTATGTGACAGCTGCCTGGCCAGGAAGCAAAGAAGGCTGCCGTTCCTGAAGACGGCGAAGTACTGCGCAACAGAGACCCTCGAGCTGGTCCATGGTGACCTCTGCAGGCCGATCACGCTAGCAACGCCCAGCGGGTGCAAGTACTTCATCTTGCTAGTGGATGACTGCAGCGGGTACATGTGGCTGCAACTTCTGACCAGCAAGACCGAGGCGGTGGAGGCGATCAAAAAGTTCAAGGCGTGCACGGATGTGGAGAGCGGCAAGAAGCTGCGCATGCTGTGGACTGATCGCAGCGGTGAATTCACTTCGGTGGAGTTCGCTGAGTACTGCGTAGATTAGGGTGTGGTGCGACACCACACTGCGCCGTACTCGCCACAACAGAATGATGTGGTGGAGCAGTGGAACCAAACGGTGGTTGGCATGGCTCGATCCATGATGAAGGCCAAGAGCATGTCGGCAAGGTTCTGGGGCGAAGCGGTGACCACGGCGGTGTTCATCCTCAACCGCGCGCCCACCATGGCCCTAAAGGGCAAGACGCCATTCGAGGCTTGGCATGGACGCAAGTCAAATGTGTCCTTCCTCAGGACATTTGGCAAGCTGGAAGACAGGAGCACGCCGATGGTGCTCCTGGGCTATGAGGAGAGCAGCAAGGCCTATCGGCTTTATGATCCCAAGAGAGGCAAGGTGGTGATCTCTAGGGATGTGGTGTTCGATGAGAAGGAGACCTAGGACTAGGACGGTCCAGGCACGGGGGAAGCTGGCGGCTTCACCAGCACCTTCGTCATCAAGCACTTGGTCATCCATGGTGGTGGAGACACTAGAGAGGAGGTGCCGACCACTCCAGCAACAGAGCTGAGCACTCATGAGGCGGTGTTGAGCACTCCAGGAGTGGTGCCGACCAGTCCTGCAGTGGTGCTGACCACTCCAGGATGGGTGCCAAATGCTCCCGTGAGGTGCCAAATGCTCCCATGAGGAGCCAAGAGGTCTTGCAGTAGCGCCGACCACTCCAGAAGTGGTGACGAACGGTCCAGGAGTAGTGCCGAGCACTGTAGCTAGGGTGCTGAGCACTCCAGGTGCTATGCCGACCACTCCGACGGAACAGGGAACTCCATCGACGTCGATTGAGTTCACCTCACCTCCAAGCGACATCACTGAGTTTGTGGATGCCTTCCACGACGGTGAGGAGGTGCGGTTCCGCAGGCTGGTATATATCATCGGTGGCACAGGGCCCTCAGGCCTAGCGGATCAGCTACTCAATGACCCAGAGCTGCTTCTCATCAGTGTAGAGGAACCACCCACGTTCGCGTTGGCCGAGCGCGATGCAAATTGGCGACGAGTGATGCTGGAGGAGATGAAGGTGATCAAGGAAAACGAGACTTGGAAGCTCATTGATCCACCTCCAGGATGTCGTCCGATCGGGCTGAAGTAGGTGTATAAGGTCAAGTGAGATGAGCGTGGCGCCATTGTTAAGCACAAGGCGCGTCTCATCGCCCGACGCTTTGTCCAGCGCGAGGGCATCTACTTCGAGGAAGTTTTTACGCTGGTAGCCCGCATGGAGTCTGTCCGACTACTTCTGGCTTTGGCAGCAATGAAGGACTGGCGTGTCCATCACCTGGACGTAAAATCAGCCCTCCTCAACGGTGAGCTAGCGGAGACGGTCTTCATCAGGCAACCTTCAGGTTTCGTCGTCAAGGCAGTGGAGCATAGGGTGCTCTGACTATGCAAGGCGCTCTATGGGCTGCGGTAGGCCCCGCGAGCGTGGAACGCCAAGCTTGACTCCACGCTGGGTGAGCTTGGGTTCACACGGTGTGCAACCGAGCACGCGCTCTATATGCGGTGACAGGGGAAGGAGGAGCTCATCGTCGGCGTGTATGTGGACGACTTGATCGTCATCAGCGCGCATGCGGAGGACATCGACAGTTTCAAGCGCGAGATGGTGGCTCATTTTCGAATGAGCGATCTCAGCGCGCTCTCCTACTACCTCGACATCGAGGTGAGACAGGGGAAGGAGGCGCTCACGCTCGGTCAGAGCGTGTATGCCTCAAAGCTGTTGGAGCGGAGCGGCATGGCTGAGTGCAAGCCATGCATGACTCCGATGGAGGAGCGGCTAAAGCTGACGAAGGCCAGTACCGCGGCGAAGGTAGATGCAACACTCTACCGGAGCATCGTTGGCGGTCTACGCTACCTAGTCCACACGAGGCCACGCATTACGTTTGCCATGGGCTACGTCAGCCGCTTCATGGAGGATCCTCGAGAAGATCACTGGGCTGCGGTAAAGCAGCTGCTGCGCTACGTCAAGGAGATGGTGAATCAGTGGATCGTCTTTCCCAAGACCGGCGAAAGTAGGTTGCAGCCCACTGTGTTCAGCGATGCAGACAAGGCAGGGGACATCGACGGACGGCGGAGCACCTCTAGCGTGCTCGTCTTCCTTGGGTCGGCTCCAATCTCATGGCTATCGCTGAAACAGAAGATGGTGCCACTGTCCTCGTGCGAGGCAGAGTACGTGGCGGCGGCCACAGCGGCATGCCAAGCTGTGTGGCTGTGACGGCTGCTGGTCGAGCTGACCGGTGTGGAAGCTCATCCACTAGCACTGATGGTGGACAACCAACCCGCCATCGCCCTCGCGAAGAATCTGATTCTCCACGACCGGAGCAGGCACATCGACGTCAAGTTCCACTTCCTCTGGGACTGTATCGATGGAGGGCAGATCGTCATCGAGTTCGTCGAAACTGGTCGGCAAGTCGCGGACGTCCTCACTAAGCCGCTCGGCCGACTTCGGCTCACGGAGCTGAAGAAGATGATCGGCATGGAGGGGGTTCTAGGGTTAGCAGCAGGATTATGGGAAGAATTGTTAAGTAATCTACTGCTCCCATGTGTGAATGCGCGGCAGGGGGCAGGCGTCGAAAGAGCTCCCTGCTGCTGCACTGTAGCCGCTGTAAGGGCAGGCGTCGAAAGGCTCCTCTGCCGCACTATAGCCACAGCAGGGCCAGGCGCCAAAGTCATCCCTGCTGTCACATCTAGTCACTGTAGTAGTATGTCAGCCTGACATGTCTGTGTACTAGGATTAGATGGGTAGAGTTGTATATATAGTTTCCCACTGCAACTCAGTAAAGAGAGCGAGTTCAGTTTGTCATCTCCTCTGCAGAGCTCCGGCCAACGCTGGTGCTTTTGTTGTGTGTGCGCGCGCTCTGTTCTCCCTCCCTTCTTCTACCTCTAGCCATAGTGTGTGGTCGGCAACGCTGGTGAGTGGTCGGCTCACCCATGCCGGAGATCCAGGGGCCAACACTGGTTTGGTGAACATTGATATGCAGCTCTCTTTCATGTTCGAGAATTGAGATGGTTTTTGGTGAGCATTTCCTGCTGTGATTTTGTTGGTTTTTGGGGTCTCTTGTGTAGGTGAATTCATCAGCATTGAGGGTTTATTGTTCTCTCTGGATAGTATACCCTGATTAAGTTCTTGATCATTCATTAACATGTTTTCGCAATTTCAGTTTCATGTTTGAGGAAGGTTAGGATTGTTTTGCAACCCTTCCGGATTGTTGTGCATCTGAAAGTTTGCATAGCTTTGTGGTAAAAGAATGGGTCTTTATTTTTTCTGAGGAATGAATTCCTCTGGCGTCTGATGCTCTAGGGCCATAACTCACTAAAGCTTGCAACTTTACTGCTGTCCTACCTGACTAACTTCCGTAAGGAATAAATGCTGAAGATGTTTTCTTTTCCTGCTTTGGTTGGTGTTAATCATCGTGGACATAGCAGAGGTGTCTCCCATGGAGATGGCTAACATGAAGCCAGAGGAGATTACCCACCCTCCCATCATGGATCAGCTGGCTGGAATGGAGTACTGTGTAGACTCCAACCCATCCTGGGGTAAGTACTCAGGTGTCTAAGCTTGCATGATTCATTCATCTAGCTGTGTTATGTCTTTATGGTACTAAATCTCTGTAATCTGTTTGATGGCGCAGGAGGGTGTATTATGCTGGGTTTCCAGCATTTCATCCTTTGCTTGGGGACGGCAGTGATGATCCCCACCTTGCTGGTTCCCCTCATGGGAGGAAATGCCGTAAGAATCCTTTCATTGTTCAACTTTGTCACTGTGAATAGATGATGCGCTATCTGATTGTTTTGTGTCATATTGGTGTAATGGTATTTATCTTCAAACAGAATTTGAAAATTGAATGGTTAGATTGGATTCTAGTTTATCAATGTCATTTGTAAGCAAAAAGAGTTGTCTTTGAAATCGTCATGTCCAGTGTAAATGTGTAATAAGGGTTACTGGTATTGGTAGTGTTATTATTTTCATTTCACATGCACTTCAGTGCATATATATCTGGTAGTACTTAGTGTTAGAGAACTGATAGCTTTTATGTTTAAAACTAATATATCTCCTGTTGTGTTCACACTAATGTATGACTTGCATGTGTCCAGAATTCATCTTTTTGGATAATGACCTCTTTATGCACTGTTTTTCAGTGATAGAATATATCCTGAATGTTTGTCCGTTTGTTTGCTTCCAGCATGACAAGGCAATTGTGGTACAGACAGTGCTGTTTGTGACTGGCATAAATACACTGCTGCAAACTCTGTTTGGAACTCGCCTGCCTACGGTTATTGGTGGATCATATGCATTTGTAATCCCAGTCATATCAATAATCAGTGATCCCTCGCAGATGCAAATTGCTGATGACCACACAGTAAGCATGCAATGTTTACAGTTCTTCTAACTAATTAGTGTATTAGTATTCATCTCACATGTTTTCTCTTGTTGCAGAGGTTCAAAGTAGCCATGAGAGCCATACAGGGGGCCCACATAATATCCTCCTGCATTCAGATAGTGCTTGGCTACAGCCAGTTGTGGGGGTTATGCTGCAGGTACAGACGAGTCATTCATTCAGTTGATGTGTCATGTGATCTAATGTTCAATTACTCGTCTGTCCCTGTCATATACTACTAATTCTGTCGTCTTAGGGAAGTAGTCATTGTTCCTTTGTATGTGCAACTTTTGGCTTTATATTTGTTGACATTGGGGCTATTTGACCGATCAGTAGGTTATTCGCTGTTATTTATACTAGCACTGGGCCTTTGATGATCTACTTTGGGTTCTCAATTCGAGAAGTGGGCATCACTTTCAGGAAAAGTGACGGCACTTCGCCAGATTCTCACACTAGGAATGGGGGCATTTTTACTGTAGGGGCGGCTGGGGTTGAGGTGCCCCTACAGTGGGCGTCCTCGGGCCCCAGCAGTCCAGCCACCCCTACAGATGGCACTATAGGGGCGGCTGATAACCTGAGTCGCCCGTACAGTTAGGGCTGATCTGTAGGGCAGCTCAATCACCAGCCGTCCCTGTAGTACCTATTTGTAGGGGCGGCTGCCACCGGCCGCCCCTGCTGAAACGATCTGATTTTCACGAAGGGAAATCCACAGAGTCGAAGTGTATTATGACCGTTGTAGATCATATTACCCAAATTCTAGTAGAATACCACATCCATACAACGATAATATCAGAGTACAAATAGTGCGAAATTATATAAATTATTACATCGTCGCATTGGCGGAATCAAAAGTAGCATTCATTCAGAACAGCTTGAAGACAAGATCGCCAAACTCGAGCGTAGGAACGAACCCCTCAACCGTCAAACTCCTCAGAGCTATACTTCTCAGCAGGACCTGTGTGCCAAAATTTATCAGTATGATTTGTACTGGCCACTCCCACCCTATGAGCATTGCTTTGTGGAAATTGGATGCAAGTTGGATATATTCAAAAGGAACCTATAAGGCTGGGGTTTCCTATATTTTAGCATATCAAGTATATATAATAATATTTGGTCAAGTTTTAACACCATTCCCACACCCATTCCACTCCATTTCTGTCCAGAGCCAGGTTTCGATCCTGGGATCGATATACCACCATCTCCACATTATCACCACCATACCATCGCTCAGTCGATAGGCCAACTCTCTCTCGGCACTGTCTCATGGCCCGTAGCCCCTGGCTACGTCCGAACACTCACTCCCAGGGGGAGAAGAGAAGGACTCATCTCACTATCTAGTTTAAGTGAAACCCAGGAAAGGTCCATAGCCGATAAGTCGGCATATGTATCGATCGATCAACCATACACTCTGCAGAGGTTTTACATAACCACAAGATCCGCCTTCCTCGCTGACCATCGTCAACTGGGCTGATTCCGGCCGTTTGCTAGCCTAGAATAATGCCACTCTACCATTTAGCCCTGGTACACCCCAAGTCTAGTGTTAGGTGGCTGAAAATGTGAGTCATGAGCCGGGTCCAGAAGGTCTCCATGAAGTCTCGGAAGGGTGTGGGGAGAATCCTCCGCGCCCCGTACCTCCCTCGCACTGTCCGCTATCAACCTAGCAGTAGTGGTAATATCCTACCAAGTAGTCTGGCCGTCCCGCACAATATAGGGCGAGTGGTACGTAAGGCTTCCCGGTGAATCTGAGTACTAGTAAGTCCTTAGGGGTGACCAAGCCAGAATGTCTTCATCAGGGTTTCCATTTACCGTGCCACCATAGCACCTCCACCCTGGGCTCCTCCCATCACAGGTTCACACCCAGGGCCACCTTATATACCATTTACCCACCACAGGTATCCATTCCAGGGGTGCCCAGGTAGCACCCCACGGCAAGACTTGTCCCAGGCTTGTCGTATACTCCAACTTGGTCGACACAACCCTCACCCTCCACGCACCTAAGTCACACATGCAGCACTCTCCCCATAGTCCAGATAACACCAGTTTCCACCACGCATCAATGTAGTACAAGCGTAGTAGAAGTAATAAGCAATGAAATATAGCAGCGAGCGTGTGACTAGCCTAACAGCAGGGTGAGCAGGGGTAAGGTTGCGTCAAGGTAAAGGCCATCAAATAAGCATACTACCATGCAAGTCCTATCATAGTGTGATTATAACAATAAAGTAAAGCAATAGCAGCTCTACATTAGCCATGCGTAATAGGTGCTACGAGATTGGGTGGGATGTGGCACCTTCAGTGAAGTCGTCTCCGTACTCCTCACGGTACTCTCGGTCCTCGTCCGTCTAGTTCTCCTCCGAGTCTACAACCGATCGCATTATAGTCGCGTTAGCGACGTCTATAGAATAGCACAAAAAGCTATGAAAATTCAAAAGAGCCAAATGCACTCAAACATGGGTTCATTGCGTAGAGCTCGATTTTAGATGAATTTTGGTCCTGGTCTTGTATTTTTCTGAGGTCGTATGAATTAGTTATGAATTTCCGGAGATTAAATCCTTTTCTGAAAATAATTAAGGCTGATTAATTCAGGGCTGACACGTGTCACACTGTGACTGGTTCATGTGGCATGTAGGGACTTGGAGTGGTGTATCAGCTGGTGAGGTGGTCGGAGAGGTCGCCGAGGTGGTCGAAGAGGTCGCCGAGGTGGTCGGAGAGCTCGCCGAGGTGGTCGGAGAGGTCGTCGAGGTGATCGGAGAGATCGCCGAAGTGGTCGGAGAGCTTGCCGAGATGGTCGAAGAGCTTGCCGAGGTGGTCGGAGAGATCGCTGAAGTCCTCGACGCTGGCGTGGTCTCATCTTCGGCATGACGTCAGCATGGCGTCATCAGAGCTAAACCGTGGCTGACAGGTGGGTCCAGGGTCAAACGGTGACTGACAGGTGAGGCGCGGTTCATGGTGAACCCACCTGCGTTGGTCCATAGACTGCAGTGCTGGTCTATGAAGGACTTGGTCCACTTACTCCTTCCCAGGGTTCGATTCACGTGCACCAAGTGCACGGACGTGTGGCCGGCGAGGGGAAAATCCCCATCTTCTTCCCCCGCGTGCTTCCGCCGGCGGTAAGCACACCGGCGGGCACCTCCAGCGGCGCGGGTGTGCAATTAAGGTGGGCAAAAGCTTGGCCTTGCCATGGCGGGTGCCCCGGTGAAGTTAACATGGTGGCCGGGTGGCTCCAGTTGGCTGGCCGTGGTGGCGGCGGTCCCTCGTACACCGGCGAGCGGCGGTGTGGTGGCTGTGGTGGCGGTACCGGAGATTTGTGGTGCGCACGAGCTCCCCGACGCTGCTACAGCCATGGCGAGCAGGTCGAAGGGGCTCCGGGAGCTCTCAACGCCTCCGGCCATGGTGGTCAGGGCAAAGCAGAGGCGGTGGCGCTCCGACGAGATGTGGTGCGGCAACTCAGGGCTCCGGTGGGCTTCATCCTCGGCTAAGGTGAGCACGGTGTGTCTCTCGTCATGGCGGAGCCAGTCGGGGTGTCAACATCGCCTTTACCACGACGTAGAAGACGTGGTGGTCTCACCATGGTTGTGCTCTCGGCCATGGCGTGCAGGGTGGTCGTGCCGGTGTTCCCGAGCCGCTAGGGGTCGGTGAGGCCAGGCCTTGGGCTTGTGCACATGCGGTGCGTGTGCAGTGTGTCCAGGAGCAGGAATGCTCCGCCTCTGCATCCCCTAGGTGCGGGAACACGGTGGCGTTAATGGCGAGTACGGCTAGCGCGGTGAGCGGCGAACGATGTGCTTCACCGTAGGGCTCGTGGCGGTAGGATGGCGGTGCAGTGGCGAGGCGATGCTGTGATGAGGTGTTGCAGTGCCGTGCCGAGCAGCTACGTCGCTGTAGCTGATTGGGGCGGCGCTCCTGGCTCCGGCGAGGTCCGGTTCCACAGCGGCTTCCTTCTCCTCCTTGCTTCTTCCTCCTCCCTCTCTCTCGGCTTGACGCGGTGTGGTGCTGTGCCACCAGCGGTGGCGGTGAACGGGCTGAGGGTTAGGGCTCGCAGGCGTTGGCTTTTATAGCCGAGCTCCAAGGGCTCCAATGGTGGACGGCGATCGGGCGGTGGTGATGTGTGCGGCGCATCCGACGGCCCGCGGGCGGTAGCGTAGGCGCAGCGCAAGGGGGAACAGGGTCATGCTTCTTGCGTGACCCCCTGGCCCACGCCTGCCACGCTGGTTGGGGCTCGGTCGGGAGGAGAGACTGGCGTGGGGAGGAAGAAGGCCCTGTTGCTGGGGTGGCTAACGCGTGGGGTCCGTTTGTTAGCTTGTCCAGATGCGCCGGAGTGCGGTGCGTGACGGCTGACGTTCGGGTTCGGCTCGTCAGTGGCTTGTGCGCGCGCGGGCGGTAGGGTGTTGCTGGGCCGGCTTCGTGCGTCGCATGCGCGAGTGGGAGGGTAGGGGGGCTCGGCCGGGCTGGCTTGCAAGGCCGAGCAGGCCTAGGCTGCTGCTGCTCCCTCCTTTTTCCTTTTCTTTTTCTGTTTGTTTGTCTTTTCTTTCTTTTGCTTTGATTCAATTTTAGTTAGAGTTTAAACTTGAGCTTTGAGTTATGTAGTGGGTCCCACAAGGTGCTTCAAATGGTGGTCAAAATACATCCCATATATTAGGGTTTATCATAAATATTAAGTAAGTTAGTTAAACATCACATAAGGCAAAAGAATCCAAATCACAAGTGGAATTAAGGATACATGCATGATTTGTTTATTTAGGAATTTAATTACACGTGGCATAAAACCAAGCTATGCTTATGATTTTAACCTAGTTGGGTCACATCTAATCCAAAACTAGGGTTTGGCTTCTACATGTGTCACTCAACATCACATAGGGTTTAAACAAACAATTTTGTAGTTGTAATTTTTGGTGTGTGGGTTTTTGGGTTGTTACACCTGCTGTTCGACTGTAGGGGCGGCTGAATCACCAGCCGCCCCTACTGATGGCGCACGAATAAATAGCGGCCACCCCCTTCTTCCACCTCAGGACACACTCTTCTACAAAAAAGGTTGGGAGGCCTTAGTCTCCTCCTAAAAATTGCTCTACTAAGGGAGGAGGTTTTGATCTCAAATTCTTTGGTGGAGAGGCTCTAAAAGGTAAGAAAATGCTTTTCCAACTCTTTATTTGAAGTTTAATTCGTTGGTTAGTGAGTAATTTGATTTTTGGTTTTCTCTCTCTTCCATGGAGCTTAAGCTAGTTATGAGTGAAATTGGACGCTAATTTTCACTATACTAGGGTAAATTAGGTAGGGAAGTAAGATTGCACCCTTTGTTAGTAAATCTTTGTTGATTTTAGTGTAGTATTAGTGAAGTTTGGTGCATGTGTCATGAAACCCTATATCTAGATCTAGATCTAGGATTTTGTTTTTTTTTCTTTTTCAATTTTTTCTTTATGTGACTAGGGTTTGCATGTAGGTGAATGTGTAAGATTTTAATTGTTGCTAATGTGTAAAATATCCTCTACCATGGCTACTAATTATCATTTAATATTTATTTTGATTTCTTTGTATAATGTGTGTTTTTAATTAGTTATGGATAAATAGGCCATTAATTAATTATCCTCTACCACGAAATTGGAATGGAGTTTGCATGAAAGGTAGTGGATGAAATATTAAATGTTGCTAATTGTTTTCTTTGAAATTGTTTATTTGAACCAATTAATTTATATTTTAAAATATTTATGCATTAATAGTCAATTAATTAACTATCCTCTACTACCATGGTGCGTGTCTCAGGTATATACAATTATTCTCGAGTAATATTCTTTCTTTGGTTGTTTTGTTTCTATAAGATGGACTACATGAACTTTTGGATGTATGGTTCGTTAAGACACGACGCTCTTTTCCGTGATGAGGTGGACAAATTCATCAAAGCCGCAGAGAAGCATGCAGCGACGTTGAAAGAGAATAGTGACACAATTATTTGTCCCTGCAAAGATTGCAAGAACCTTATTGCATTTCGAGATGTGAGTACCATCAAAGAACATCTGATTAGGAGAGGATTTGTTCTGGACTACATAGTATGGATTCATCATGGTGAAACAGTGGTTGTTGATGACAGCGACGATGATCTAACTGATGAAGCTGAAACCCAAGCATACTTGTCCCGATTCACAGACGATCTTGAGCAACAAATGGATCGTGGCTATGGCAATGAACAAGGTGGTGGCTTTGGCAATGAACAAGGTGATGATGATGCTGGTGCCGCCAGCAATGATGGCAAAGCACGTGAGGGGGATGCAGATGATGGTGACAACTTGGACAAAATACTTGGGGCCTTTGGACCAGAAATATTAGAAAAGAGTAAGAGAGGTCTAGAAAATCTTGAGAGGGTGACAAAAGCATCGAAGAAGACTGTGTATGATGCTAAGAAGGGCTGTCCGACATACTTCACACTGCTATGTTTTGTGCTTGAGCTACTCATCCTAAAGGCTAAGTACGGCTGGTCGGACTGCAGTTTCGATGATCTGTTGTGCCTCATGTCACGGTTGCTCCCACGGCCGAACACAGTTTCCGCCAACACATACCAAGCGAAGAAGGTTATAAGTCCACTCACATTGGGGGATGAAAAAATCAATGCATGCCCCAACCACTGTATCCTCAAATGGTCAAATGATTACCCGGATAAATATAAAAAAGGCAAGAACTTCCTACCAAACCGAGTCATACAGTGGTTGCCACGTGGAATGAGAAAGTTCCACGATTGGTACTTGCGTGCTCAGATAACAGAACTAGAAATCTTACAAGCATGGATCTCTGCCGGCATATTTGGAGCCCCAAGTGGGCAAATTGCCGTTGAGTTTAAAGATATCCAGGCATGCTTCCACCTCGGATGAATGGAAATGAATCTAATTCGTATGTGGTGCCTATAAGTCCTTGCCCTCTCGATATGATATGAATGTAATCTTTTGATTTTGTTGTAACTAACACGCGCCGTGATTTGTAGAATGCAAGCGGACTTTGTGAGAAAGAGGCCAGCTCTAAAACACGGGTATATAGACCCTTCACCTATAGCATCAACAAATTTTAATTACCCTAAAGAGTGAAAACTAGGTTGCAAAGAACTAGGAGGTGGAAAGACACTTAAGGAGAAAGAGGACATCAGGAACAAGAAAATATTGGAAGAGTCCCTCAAGGTTGCGGCATACATTGCCCCATGTTTTAAAAATCTCCAACAACACGATAATATATGGATACCATACCACTTCAAGTAAGTTCGACTGTATACTTAGCTTTGTTCAATATACTTTGTTCGATGCAAAAGAGCTTATGTGTTCCTTCTATGACTAAATTCATGCAGCGATCACTGGATTTGCATAGGCGCTGGCTCTCACATAGCATGGCATGGGTCTTTGATTCAGCAGATTTCCCAGTCGAGACATACAAAGACTTCATAGCTATTGTCAAGACGTATACATATCGACAATCCTCATTTTAGCTACTATGTTTGTATACATACTTGTAAGGTTCAATGTGGGATACTAACAGGTTGCATTTGCTAAAACCATTGGAACAGGGCATTCAGGCACTATGTCCAGGAACATAAGGGGAGACATCATCCAAATACGAAGGAAAAGTTATATGTCAAAACTCTATGTGCGGTAAGTGTCATTTACTTTGGTACTCCATATATTACGTGTCTGTCAATAGCATTACTTAACATCTCCATATGCAAAACACAGTGCCCCAAGCAGAAGCCTGGGAGTCTACATTGTGGATACTACACATGTATTATGATGAGTACCATCGGTGGCTACAACAGAAACCCCAATTTGGTAAGTTTGAACCTCTTCGCTCGTAGTATGAAAAGTTCGCATATGTTGTGATATAGTAAACCTAAACTTGTTCTCTTGTAGTTGGAGAAAGATAAAGACACGAGAAGGAACCCATACAATGATGACGAGCTCTTAGAGATGGTCGGCGACCTTTGCAACTTCATAATGGACCAGATTGTGTACCATAAAAGCACTTACTATCATCTTCTTTCCGACTTAGGTAGTAATCCTCTATACCAACACCTTCGTGAGACTGATAGGCTAGCCCTAGGCCGTTGATGACAATATGAACTTGTGGTATGGTTTGGATCAGACTTTGAAACGGTTTGGACTTTGTTTTGCATGTGGACTTGTAGATTTCTTAATGGACTATGTTATAATGATGGACTTCATAATGGACTATGTTGTAATGATGGACTTTTGTGAATTATGACTTGTGATGATGTTCTAAATAATGGTCTTGTGTTTGTGGATGTATATATGTATATTTGTGGCAGTCAGATTCGAATTTGAATTATATATATATATATATAGTCAGATTTGAATTTAAATTATTTTTTTTTTGCTGGAAAATCCACTGTAGGACCGGTTCTTGATTGAACCGCCCTTACAAATACACACAGCAGGGGCGGCTAGTGATACAGCCGCCCTTACGAAAGTCCACTGTAGGGGCGGCTGATATTACCAACCACCCCTACAGAGGGCACTGTAGGGGCGGCTGAAAACACCAGCCGTCTCTATAGAGGGCACTGCAGGGGCAGTCAGGAAACCGCCCCTACAGAAACACCCTCTGTAGGAACACCTTGGAAAGGGTAGCTGACGCAGCCGCCCCTATAGAGACTCTATAGCCGCCCCTAAACTTCTGTAGTAGCGTGGGATATAGCAGCAACCTTCGGACTGACTGATAGGAATCTTAAAATGTTGTTTTGATATCACTGTTGCAGGTTCTTCAGCCCACTTGGGATGGTTCCAGTTGTTGCACTAGTAGGGATTGGCCTTTTTGAGAGAGGATTCCCAGAGGTAAAAGATCTTACTAGTACTATTTCTTTGCTGAGTCATCACGTTGTTAACACTGATAATTTGCTCTTATCCTTTCGAATAATATATTTGATGTCTCAGATTGCAACCTGCGCGGAAATCGGTCTTCCGATGCTCGTCCTGTTTGTTGCACTTTCACAATATCTGAAGCATGTACAAATGTGCCATTTCCCAATATTCGAGAGGTTCTCAGTGCTAATCTCCATAGCACTGGTTTGGTTATATGCCCAAATCCTCACTGTCAGTGGAGCATACAAGCATAGTCCGGTGCTCACTCAGCTCAACTGCCGAACTGACCGTGCCAATCTCATCACAACTGCACCATGGTCTGTAGACTGATGTCTCCTCCCACTGTTCTATATATTTTCATCTCATCATTTCACACTTATGGAATTTATATACTTGTTTGAACATTTTCTCAGGATTAGGCTTCCATACCCGCTGCAGTGGGGTCCGCCAACTTTCAGCGCAGACCATTCATTTGGTATGATGGCTGCTGTGGTGGTGTCCTTGATAGAGGTAATTAACACAATAACACTCCATTGTTCATTGTACCATGTAATGTTCAGTTAGTTGACATCATGCTGATCTGATTTGTCTGAAAAATATTTTGAGCATTGCAGTCTACGGCAGCATTTCAGGCTGCTGCCTGTTTGGCAAGCGCGACGCCTCCACCGCCATTTGTCTTGAGCAGGGGCATTGGATGCCAGGTTAGTTAGTTCTTGCCACGTGCTAGCTAGGAAACAATGACAAAAAATATTTAGCTGGAAATTCCTCCGTTGAGAAGAAGATTATTATTTATTTTCTCCTCTTTCTTGTGACGTAAATATGTGAAAAATCAGGGAATCGGGCTGCTGTTCGACGGGTTATTTGGTACTGTGAGCGGCTCTACGGTCTCTGTGTGAGTGTTTCTGCTTCTTTGTCACGCCAAGTTTGCATGAACCAATTTTCCAGTGTCATGCCAATGCCATGCTCTTGTGTATATTACTTTACTTTGCCCAACTCAGGGAGAACGTCGGTCTCCTAGGATCAACAAGGATTGGCAGCAGAAGAGTAATCCAGATTTCTGCTATTTTCATGATCTTCTTCTCCATCCTAGGTAGAATATTATTTCCAGCACTGTAAATAAAACGATACTGTACCAAGCTTTAATTTTTCTGTTGTTGAACACATGTTATGTTATATGATCTTTTAGGGCGATTCGGAGCATTGTTCGCTTCGATTCCATTCATACTGTTTGCTGCCATGTACTGTGTGTTGTTTGGCTATGTTGGTACGTACTTACTTTACTTGCAGATGTCAAAAGGAAATTTTTATGTCTCCATAGTTTGTTACTGTCTTTGCTACTTCACCAGATTTCAGCTCTCAAAAAAAAAAGAGCTGCTGCCTTACTTAATTGAGCGGCAGAGCTCCTACCTTTTATTTAAAAAAAAAGATTTCAGCTCTCCAAAGTCCAAACCGACCCCTTTGTTTTGGTGTTGTCAGGTGCTGTGGGGCTCTCCTTTATGCAGTTCACAAACATGAACTCGACGCGCAACCTCTTCGCCCTCGGCATCTCACTCTACCTTGGCATCTCCATCCCGAACTACTTCCACCAGTTCACGACGAGCTATCGCCGTGAACCGGTGCACACTAGAGCTGGATGGGTATGTGATCACTGATCCTTCTCCCAGCTTAGCTGAAAACTTTGATCTCTGAAGTCTGAACTAGACCTTAACCGTTTTTGTGCATGCGACATGCAGTTCAACGACCTCATCAACACCGTCTTCTCGTCGCCGGCCACCGTCGGGTTCATCGTCTCGATGGTGCTGGACAACACCCTGCAGGCGAGGAACAGAGACAGGGACTGTGGGATGCCATGGTGGGCGAGGTTCCGGACGTTCCGCGGCGACAGCCGGACTGTGGAGTTCTACAATCTGCCGTTCAGTCTCAACCGCTTCTTCCCGGCTTCGTGAGTCAACAGTAGGATTCTAGTGAAAGACTGAAGCCAACCGTAGAGTGAGTCTAGCCAACAGTATCATTGTAACTATGGTTTGGCTTCCATAGATATTAGAGAAGAAGAGGAGTTAGGACTAGTGGAGGCAGAAGAAGGCATTGTACTCCCTCCATTTTAAATTATAAGACGTTTGTATCTGTTGGGATGTTCCTTCATTCAAGCTGGGGTGGTTATGCTTGTACATACTTCGTTTGGTTGTCGGAAATGAGCAATGAGAATCGATTATATATTTCAGGTTCACTTTCTTGCTCTTGCGTAATTTTTTTAGCATTCGGTTATGAATTATGAAAGCATTTAAAAAGCACTGTTTACATGAAGAGAGAGCCGCATTTTTTAGTATTCAACACTCAAGAAATAATCCTTTTTTTACGGAAATGGTCTAAGTATTACTTTGTTATATATAATGAGGTGGGCTCATTTAGCAGCTCAATGTCATATTGTCATGGAACTAAAAAGTCATGTGCTCATGTACCAATTTTAATATGGGTAGAACATTCATGTATCACAGTGGCTGCGGTTGCTAAATGTGTTATTACTGTTTTGGTGACTAGTGAAATGCACTCCCTAGCTTATTTAGGGGGGTTTTTGGTTTGATAAACAAGTGATATAGTGTAGCATTAGTTCATTATTCTTATATTTGGTGCAATCACTCCACTGCTTATTATACTCGTACTAATTATTAGCTTGTGAGAATGAGGTAATCATGAATTAACTTATTCCATTATGCAAATCAAACAGAAAAGTGAGAAATGGGAAGATGACGAACAACTTCATTCCTTAAACCAAACGTCCTATAAAAGTTTGAACAATGATTTTATTTTATTTATTTACAATATACAATGAAACAATATAGAATTCTACAATGCTCTTACAAGTAGTTGATACAGCAAACTTAATCACGTGTTCTTTACATTGGAGTAATTAAATAAATCTTATAAGATCTGAAGCAAAAAAAAAAAAAGAGTTGATCTTAGAAGTTCAAACTTTTTTATTGTAATTTTTAAATAATTTCTCGTGAATATTACTAGCCTTGTGAAAAATATGCTGCGTCAGCTAATGAAGTGTAAGGGTTAAAAATTCTTGTGAAAAATATGCTGCGTCAGCTGATGAAGTGTAAGGGCAAAAAAATTTGGGGGGCTAAAATATCCGACCTGCCGGATTTGAACTAGCGACCTAAGGATTCATCTGCACCGACTACAGTCCTTATGAAAACACTGCTCGGCTTTATAATATACTGAGGACATGTTTGTTTATGAAAAACACTGCTCCGCTCTACAATGCTCGTGAGAATACAAGTTTTCATGAACTTAGATCATGGAGCTCCTTCTTTCCTCGTATTGTTGTTACGCTAGTTGTTTCTGAATTAAACTACTACCATGTAAAATGCTGCCAACAATTATTTTATTGGTCAAACTTTGTAGGTACCTCACACGTAAATTTGTACTCCCTCTGGTTTCCTAAAGGATGTCATTTTGGACAGCAACACGGTCTCCAAAAGACAACTTTGACCGTTACTTTTTGCTATAAAATATTTATAAAATATAGTCAATATATACTTTTATGAAACTATATTTCAACATAAATCTACTTACATCACTTTCATATTTTTAAATTCAACCCAAAATAATTTATTTGTAGTTAAAGTTCAAAATATTTGACTTAAGACAACCTCAAAACAACATCCTTTAGAAAACCGGAGGGAGCAGGTGTCATGGGAACTAGCATATCCACTGGCCTATAGCCTATTGGTGGATCTAGAAATAAATGCTACGAGGGGCTCATTCAACTTTCGTCTCTAGTCTCTCCTTTCAAGTTTTCAAGCTGCATCTAGCCTCTCCTTTCAAGTTTTTCACAAGCTGCTGTTTTACCTCTAGTCTCATGCAATGGTGGGAGGGATATTCTTCGAGTCTCATCTCACCCGGTGCACGTAAAATTATGATAAAATTGTTGGAGTAAGAGTCTATTGGAGACACGAAAGATATAATCCCTCCATAATGGTAATTTAAGTCGTTTTAGACAAGGTTTGGGTCAAACTTTGGGAATATAAATTATGAATAACTTTTAAGTTGTTGAGTTTGGAAATATGAAAATCTTGAAAAGTACTTTCATAAAAAAAATATACATATATCACTTTCCAATAAATATTTTTATAAAAATAAGAAGTCAGAGTTATGCTTTGAATGTCGTGTCGCTGTCCAAAACGACTTCAATTACTAGTACGGAGGGCAAAGAGAATGTTAGTTGAATGGCTCTGTAAATAAAATTCCCATAAAGATATAGAGATCGAAAATAGAGTCAACTTGTTAGCTCACATGAACTTCTAAAAATATAAAAATAAAATATACTAACATGCTAGTATAACATGTAAGCATAGACACATGAATCATAGAAAAGTATTTGAGTTAAGCTCTCCATGAAGAGCTAACATTATCATGGCAAAATATTCAGTGCAAAACCACATGTTCATTCAATCGTGAAACCCCATTGAAAAACATAATCAAAAGTTTTCAAAATTTTTGAAACTGTGCACATCCATAGTGCATTTATCGATAAATATTACCACAAAATTTGAGGTTCAAATAAAAATTCAAACAAAAATAACAAATTTGAAGTGCATATGCATTAGAAGACAAATTCCTAAAATCTTTGTCTTCTAGTGCATATGCATCTCAAATTTGTTATTTTTGTATGAATTTTCTTGATAAAGTTTGAATATCAAATTTTGTGGTAGTGTTCATCAATAGATGCACTATTTATGTCTTGTAGTTTCATTTTTTGTGAAAACTTCTAATTATGTTTCTTCAATGGGGTTTCTGATTGCAATCAAGATGTAGTTTGCATCGACTATTTTGCCACTTATCATCTCTCTCCTTACTTGATAAAATATTCTATAAGCTACCACTGTTGGTCTGTTGCATCTGTCTTAGAGTTGAGTTGAGACATGCTAGTTATGCTCAGTGCTGTTGTTTTTCCTTTTCAATATCCTTCCTCCATCCCAAAATACTTCAACTTACAAATTTCATCTTAACACATAGTTGACCTTCTCACTTCCTAATACAACTTTCTCCCCTCCCAATACATCTTTTTATTTTTCCAATTCATTTCTATTTCTCTCTCTCTCTCTCTCTCACCACATCTTTTTACTCATTCTAAATTCTTGGGTCAGTCTTAGTAGTGAGTTTCATAGTGTTGTTACCAAGATTGACACATTGATTTTATGCTCATCAAAGGTTCTTCATACCAGGAGAAATAACAACATCGAGAGCAAGCCACTGAGCACGAGCATGACAATGGAACCAGAGGATCCAACGTTTCAGCTATTACAAGAAATTACAGATGATTTCTCTGAGGAGAGACGAATTGGTGCAGGATCATATGGAGATGTTTACAAGGTCAGACTTGAGCATGCATGGTCTTTTTACAAACTGTGGTGCATTGCTTCAGAACAATATACCTATACGACATGATGTTAGTGTTACTGCAAATGTAAAGTAGGCAACCAGCTGACATAAAAACTTATTGCTGTGTGCCCAGCTGCCCGAGGCCCCAAGCCATATTCTGATGTGGTTATAAGTTGTAGTTAGAAAAGGTCAATTTGCGTTATTGGGTACTAACGGAACATCTTTAACAGGGAGTGACTAAAATGGGGAGGATGTTGCTGTGAAGATGCCTAAAGAAAATCTACAACTTGATGATCAGCAGTTCGCAAACGAGTTTCATAACCTCAAGATGCTTAAGCATCAAAATATTGTGCAGATTCTTGGCTACTGCTATGAAACAAAGAAAACACCTACAAAGTATAATGGAAAGACGGTGCTCGCTGAAAAGACATACAGAGCCCTCTGCTTCGAGTATTTGCACAATGGGAGCCTCTGAAAAGCATCTTTGTGGTATGGTTATGCTCATTTTACTATATCTTTGAAGAAAGCCTTTTCTGTATATATATACTAGCAATTGATTGATCGATTGGTAATCACCTCGTTTGCTACCACAGATGAGTTTCCTGGATTTGATTGGCACACTAGGTACAAAATTATTAAGGGACTTGTGAAGGTTTGAAACATATTCATGAGGAGCTGGCGGAACCTCTTTACCACTTGGACCTAAAACCTGAAAATATATTGCTAGATAAGAACATGGTGCCAAAAATTGTAGATTTTGGTTTGTCCAGGATCTTTGGTAAAGAACTAGCTCGGACCACACGAAGTCCTGTAGGAACACTGTAAGTTGAATGCCTGATTTGGACATATCTTATTTCTAATACATCGAAAGTGACTTGTAAATTACTAATCTCATTTGTATGTGATGCAAGTGCAGTGGATACCAGCCACCAGAATACATCGAGAGAGGTGAAATTTCGAAACGGTTTGACATATACAGCTTAGATGTCATGATGATAAAGATACTGACAGGACCTGAGGGCTACTCCAACTGTGCATACATGCAAAACGATGGTTTTATTGATCTGGTGAGAAATGATATTTGTTTTTTTTTGTTATTAAAAGTATCAATTCAGTAAATAAACCAAATTAAAAGCATGGAAATATGCTGCAACTGAATTGATTGATTGATGGGAGATTATATATATATATATATATACACACACGTACTATTATGTAGCTGGCCACAAAATAAGTTATTATGTGGCCACTTTGAGTTACAATAATTACTATACTAATTTACGAGATTATGGTAACTCCCTGATTTACTATAGCGTTCATCCTATGGTTAAACTTATAGAATCAATGCGTACCGTAGGATGACCGTTGACCGGACCTTAATCAATCAGCACGCCAACAGGACCAGAGGCTGACTGCTAAACATAAGGCCTAAGCCCAATACCACTAACCTGCCTTTCTAACACAAACGTTACACATTTACATCCAGATGGTATCAACCCATGCTGACAGTTTATTTCGCAGGTACAAAAGAACTGGAGGAACAGGTTGCAGGCAACAT